AGCCTTACTGGTAATTAGGGATTTGCACATTAAAACACAATTAGCTATCACTAGACTGGGGAAAAATAAGAAAGTCTGATGTTTCCAATTATTGGCAAGAATGGGAAGCAGGAGGACGCCTCAAACGCTGCAGGTGGGAGGATAAATTGTCAGAACTATTTAAAACAGCTTGGCATTATCTTGTAAAGTGAAGATTAATTTGCTCTCTGACTCTGTTATTCCATTCCTAGATACGGGGCCTAATGATCCTTTTACACTGCACTACCAGAGCTACCAACAAGTGTCTGCAGTCGTGCTGCTTGTAATAACAAGAGCTGGGCGTCAGTGGAGGTGTCATCTCCGGAAGACACACACACACACACACACACACACACACAGGCAGAGGGTTCTGCACCACCATCTAGAGCAGTGACCATGCCTGAACTACGCCCCAAGCAGTCACAGGGTTTCAAAGTGACACGAGAGAACGAAAAAGCCAGTTACCGAAGAATTCATATGCCCCCGTGTAACATTACGTACGTGTTAAGTTCAACAGTCTACAAAGCTGACAGTGGAGGACAGGGACCCACGCCTGGGATGGCCATCCAAAGGTTGGAGCATTGAAAACACATTTCAAATCATAAAACGAACCAAAAAAAATCTGCTTCTTGTTATCACCATGCATCAGCAATTCTGAACAATGCGTATTGTCCAGAATCCTGTTCCCTCCTCCCTGCCTGCAGAGACTCTGACTCCCAAACCCCACCCTCCCCCCAGATACACAGCCAAGCCCACCGGTCAGAGCCCTCTTCTGTGAGAGGGAGGAGGTGGGGTCCCAGGGGAGCCGGATGCCTTCCGAGACCTTCCTCTCTGTCCTAGTCATTGAGCTGCTTATCATACTTGAACATTTTGCTTGTTCTCTGTGTGTATCTTGTGTGAAAAATCTCCCGTCAAGAAAAGTTGGAGAAATCCAATTGGCAGGGGGCAGGATGCGGGGCCAGGCCCTGTCCTGTGGGGCTTGGGAAGCTGCAAGCCAGAATGACAGGGTGGAAGATGCCTCTGGGAATGTGGGGCCTAACCTGAGTGGGGACATTTTGGGGGGAGGGGCTTCACCTGCAGGAGAGCCACAGATATGGAAACTGTGGGGAGTAAGGAGGTGGGCAACGTCTCAAGGTGATGCTGACGAGGAAGCTGGGGCAGTGCAGAGGAGCGGGGGCTGGGAAGGGGCCAGGGCCTGGCAGCACTGGGCGCTGGGAAGTGAAGCGGCCCCTGCCCCAGCTGACCGTCTGCTGAGGCCTGGGTGGAGGAAGCGAGGAGGCTGCAGGGGAGGATGAAGAGAGGGCTGGATAGCTGGCAGCAAGTTTGGCTGTGTGAGAAGCAGCTGCTGGGAAGAGACTTGGAGCTGTGGGGGTTATTTTTGCTTTTTTGGTTTGGGGCCATAGTTACAGTGCTCAGGGCTCAGTCCTGGCAAGCTGGTAGGATGACAGACAGTGCTGGGGATCAAAACCGGGGTCAGCCGCGTGCAAAGCAAGAGCCTGTACTATCTCTCTGGCCCTGAACTGGGAGAATATTATTAGGCATTTTAAAGTGCCCTATTTTAAAAAAAAAACCCACACACGCACACAACCCAATGTAGGGGCCGGAGAGAGCTCACAGGGGTTCAGATGCTTGCCTCGCCCCCTTTGATCTCTCACACAGACAGTTCCCTGAGCACTGCCCGGAGCACCCACTAGGCACAGAGCCGGGAGTCGTCCTCAGCACCGGAGAACGGCCTAAATGCTCCCTCCCCCCCAACACACACGCTGTAATAATATTAAAGTGATATCTGGACTTTAAAGCTTCATTCTAGTCCAGGACTGGGGGATGTTGCTTAGCAGCTGAGTACAGACTCACCCTGCATGCCTGAGGCCCTGGGTTTGATCCCCAGAACTAGAACACCCCCCAGTAAGGTGGAGCCCCACTAAGGCAGGAGGGGGCCGAGCTGAGCAGGATCCCGGAGACTAAAGCCTGGGTACAGCGGCATATCTGGAGGAGGCACACTCTAGCACAGACATCAAACTCTGGGGACAAGGTGACAAGAGCAAAGCAGGGCAAGGCTCCGACACTCACACAGGGTGCCCCCTGCCCACTCTGGCAGCTCCCACCCCCAGCCTGGGTGCCACTCATGGGCCCTGGTCTAAACTCCTGGATGTGCCCAGCTCACCAGTCAAACAGGGGTGTCGGTCGAGGGGTCCCTGTTGCTCTCTGAGCCTTGGTGTCCTTCAGCAATGGCCCCTCTGGGGTGGCTGTGCAGGTGGAATGACAGAAAAGCACAGCGGGCACCTCCTGGGTGTCCTGCACCCCCATGTTACCTCCCTGTGACCAGGAGGAGCCAGGCACCGCGGGGGTCAGGCAGTGGGTGGCATGAGTCCTGCTTTGGGGTTGGCAGCCTGGCAGTTCATCCCTCCCACCTGTCCCAAAAGGCTTCTCTGGTGGCCCCCAGGCCAGCTCCTGGCATGGGGACACCCGCCTTTCCTCAGCTGGGCTGTCCCTGAGGCAGTGCTGCTGCGTGGGCCACCGGGGGCAGTTGTCATGGGGACATCGGCCTCCCAGCTGCCTCCTTAGCAACAGGATTCCCAGACCGGTTCCCATGGCAACAGCATCCGCTCTGCCACAAGCCAGGGACTGGGTACCCCGCCTGCTCCGAGGACATCCCCTGCGTGGGAGCTCCGGGCCTGCCCCTGCCTACTCCCAGCCATGTCCACACACCTGCGGGACCACTCCACAGTCAGGAGCGAGGGAGCCGGAGGATCCCCAACTCCCAGCAGCACTCCCCACACCCCCGGACAACCCTCACTCCTGGCCCTGACAAGACCTTTGTCCCCACGTGCTCACAGCCAAAGGCCCCTGGAATGAAGCTGGCCCCTCCTGATTCAGATGGAGTTCCTGCAGAGAGCACCAAGGGAGCATAGGCAGGTGGAATGTGGTCCGGGGTCCCCTCCGCTGCACCCCTGCGTCCCGCTCTGAGGCACAGGACTCTGCCTCCCTGCTGCTTCTCACCCCCAGGACTGCGCCAAGACTCCACCCACCCCATGAGCCTTGCTGCCCCCAGCCCCAGGCCCCCAGAGAGGCAGCATCCGCAGGCATCTTAAAAATGTCAAGTCAAGGCTACATTACAGCAGTTACTTTCCTTGGTCTTAACGATGGGGCGGCGGAGGATTCCAAATATGCTTACTGGCGTCTGGCCACAGCGTGCATCCGTGTGCATGGCCACGTGTGGAAGCGGGGGCAGCCCTGATGCCAGCCCTATCCCTTTGCCCTCACCCTGCCCCTAGGACTGACGCCTGGGATCCTGCTGCCTTCCTAGGGGTGCCGGGAAGCTGCTGTAACTCCCTGCAGCAGAGGCAACTATCTAGGCCCAACTGGGCTTCCCCAGCCCAGAAGAGACCAAAGTCAGGGTCTTTCTCCCTTGAAGACCCCAGGTTCCCTTGCCACCTCCTCCCCTGGGTGACTGAACCTGCTGGCCCCTTTCTTCCCCTCGCCCTACAGTGGGGGCTGAGGGGCACAGGGGCACAACCCCAGTTCTCCGCTTCCTTCTGTCTTGGAGGTGGGGCTGCTGGGGCGCCACAAATCCAGCCCCGGTGGCCCAGAACAGGCCAATCCCCTCGGCCCACAGGTCTTCCTTCTCCCTCGGGGCCTGTGGCTCAACTCCATCCCCCTGAGCATTTGGTCCCACCTGCCCTCCTTCCCTGTCTCCCCCAACCCCAGGAGGCCCCACCTCCTGGGGGTTTGTGTCTGGGCCCAGGTGGTCATTCAACGGGTGCCAGGGGGCCTGTACGGTCGAACCTCAATCCCATTTTATGTAGGAGGCCACAGATGCAAGAACCAGAGAACGTGCCGCAGGTCACAGAGCTGTGACGGGACTCAGAGCCAGGGCCGCCTGCCCCCCAAGCCCACTCTCTTCTCTATGCTCAACTCTGCCACCCCCAGCGGGTTTCTTCTTGGTTTTGAGGTCACATTCAGCAATACTCAGCTTTCACTCCTGCCTCTGTGCTCCCTGGTAGTGCTCGGGGATTGAAGCAGGGTCGGCGGGACGCATAGCAAGCACCTTAACCTCGGTCCTCTCTCAGGACCCACTGCTCGGATTCCCAGCGGAAGGAACCTCGGCCCGGCTTCATACAGGAACTGGATCCCTGCCGTGTCTCCTGATTCTGGAAAAAGGATCCCAAACTGTTTCCTCATGTGTAAGTGTGTGTGTGCACGTGTGGGGTGGGGTAATCACGAAACACCTACCTCACTCACGGTCGAGACCGAAGGAGCCCATGGAGGTAAAGTGCTAACCCAGTGCTTGGCACCACAGACTCAAGAATTAAAATTCCCTTCACTGTGCAGACGAGGGAACTAAGGACCCAGAATTGAAGAGGGGTGCTCTCGGCCAGTGGAGAGGGGGGAGGTTGAGGAAGAGGAGAGGGGAAGGGGGAAATGAAAGATAGGGAGGTGAGTGGAGAAAGGGCAGGAGGGGTGGGGTAGGGAGGGAAGAACGGAGGGAAATGGAGGCGAGGGAAGAGGGGTGAGGGCTGGCCTGGAGCGACTGTCCCTCTGTGCAGCGAGAGGGTTTGAGATTGGGTGGGTGGGGGCTACTGCGGTCCCCCTCCCTGAGGACACCTCATTTCCTCAGGCATCGCTGGCCAGGCAGGTGGCTGGAAGGTGGCCCGGGTGTCCTGGGGACAGGGGGTGACACTAGACGGCACAGTGCAGGCAGTTCTAAGGAGCACTACAGACTCTCACACAGATCCTGGCTGGCTCCTCCCCGCATCTGGCCAAGTTTGCAGCAGGAAAAACGCAGGACTCCAAGGACACGGGCAGCCGAGGACAGCCCCATTCCCAGGGAACTGGGGGCCCCCACAGAGGGCTCCGAGTGCCAGGACACGGGGTTCGGGGGTGGCTGCCACCCCCAAACAACAAAGGCGCCGGGCCGGCTGCTCTTGGAGCCCCACCTCTGTGTGCAGAGACCCCAGGCGCTCTCACTCTGCACTGGGGCCTGCCTGCTTCCCTCCCCCTCCCGCGAATATTAAAATAGTCTATAAAAGCCAGTGATCAAAACTGGAGCGCTCTCGGGGTACCTGGGCGTTCCTGGCGCCGCTGCTCAGGTGAGGGCGAGTGCAAGGGTGCTGGCGCCTGTCCTAACCACAGTCACACCTGAAGGAAGCGCGAGGCGGGCACGGGGTGGGGCGCGGGCCCACCCCCCGCTCAGAGGTTGGACGGCAGTTTGGAGCGCACCGGCTCCGCTCCAGGCCCCGGGGCGCCCGCAGGGGCGGCGGGCCTGGCCCCAAACAAGGAGAGGGGGGGTGGCAGAGAACCTGAGGATGTCTTCCGAGGCAGGGTGACGTGCAGCTGGCCCGGGGCGGCACCATGGGGCCTCCCGGGCGCGCCCAGGCCCCCGCCGCTGCCCCCGGCCCTGGGGAAGGGCGGGAAGCCCCCCACCGACTCCCCGGAAGAGTGCGGGGACGCCCGGCGCAGAGTCTGCGCCCCGTCCTGGGGCAGGGCCGGCTGGGAGGCCGAGATGAGCTTGAGGTCCTGGGTGAGGCGGCCCCCGGGGGTCAGGGGCGGGGTCCCCCTGCGCTGCGGCACCTGCGGGGGCGGCGGGCTGGAGGCGGGGGGCAGCAGCAAGGAGCCGTGCGAGCCGGAGGCGCGCGGCGGGGGCCCGGGGAAGGTCCTGGGGGGGCCGGGGCTGTGGCCCGCGGGGCTGGGGCCGGCGCGCGGGGAGGGGGCGGCGACGGGCGAGGCGCCCCCGAAGCCCGCGCGCTCCGGCTGCCGCGGGGGCGTCTCTGGGGTGCCCGGCTCCCCGGGGGGCTGGCCCAGCTGCCCGGGGCTGCAGGCCGGGGACCGCGCGGCGGGCGGCGGCGGCGGCAGGAAGGGCTCCAGGAGTCCGGGCGCCCCGCGGGCCCCGGGCAGCGGCGGCGGGGCCGGGCCGGCCTGCGGGGAGCGCGCGCCGGGCTGCGGCGGCGTGGGCAGGGGCGAGTCGGACGAGGACACGGAGCCGCCCAGCGCCCGGTGGAAGGGGCCGAAGCCCGCGGGCGCGGCGGGGGACGAGGCGCCGGGCGCGGGCAGCAGCGGGCTCAGGCCGGCGGGCGCCGCGAAGCCGGCCAGCTGCTGGATGTGGAAGCACGAGGAGGACGGCGTGTCCAGCTGCGACGGGCTGCTGGCGGGCGAGGCGGCGCCCAGCGCGGCGGGGGCCAGCGAGTGCAGGCGCGCGCGGTGGCGCGGCGTGGGCCCGGGCGGCGGGCGGAACACGGCGGCCGGCAGGCGCGGGTGGTGCGTGAGCGCGATGGCCACCGACGTGGTGGCCGCGGCCGCCTGCAGCGGCGCCTGGACCAGCGGCGTCCAGATGAGCGGCGCGGGCGCGGGCGCGGGCGCCGAGGCCGCCTGGGCGCGGTGCGCGCAGTGAGCCATCTCGCGGTCGTGCTGCACGATCTGCTGGATGATCTCGTTCTCCTGGTAGTTGAACACGCCCGAGTTGAGGTCGTGCTGCACCTTGTGCAGGAGGATGGAGTTCTTCTTGCCTGGAGCACGGGGGCGCGGGAGCAGAGGGCGCGCTCAGGCCCGGGACCCCCCGCCGCGCGCCCCGCCCCGCCCCGCGGCCCGCGCGCACTGCCCGCTCACCGATGCGGTCCAGGCGGTCCAGCGCCACCGTCTCGAAGGCGCGCCGCATCATGGGGTACTCCTCCAGCACCTCGTTGAAGTTGTCCACGCTCAGCGAGTACAGGCGGCAGTAGGTGTCCGCCCTCACGCTGGCCGTGCGCCGGCCCCGCGTCAGCAGGCAGATCTCTGGAGGTGGGGGGCGGACAGAGGGAGTCTGGGCATTGGGGGGCCCGCGCCTCCCCCATCTGAGAGCTTCGCAGGACCTCCTCCCTGCCTCCGGCTCTGCAGGTCACCCGCCCCACCTCCGTCCAGGACCCACGGGCCTGGCATCTTAGGGGTCTCTGCAGCCCCCTCTCCACCCGGTCCTGCTCACTCACCTCCGAAGTAGGAGCCGTCGGCCAGCTTGGTCTCCTTGTTGCCCTTGGTGAGCACGCTGACCACGCCGTGCTGGATGAAGTACATCTTCTTGCCGATGGTGCCCTCTCGGATGATGTAGTCCCCGGGCTGGAAGACCTCGAAGCGCAGCTTGGTCAGCATGGACGTCACGAAGTTGGGGTCAGCATTGGCAAAGAGCGGCATGGAGGCCACCAGCTTGCGGCAGTTAAAGTTGATGATCTCCTGGGATGGGGTGGGGGCAGGGAGAAGGCGTGAGGGCGTGAGGGCCCCAGGGCAGGCTCCCCAGAGTCCATCGCCGCCAGCCAGGCCTCCCACCTACCTCCCGCAGGGGCTCGCTCAGCTCCCCCAGGATGCTCTCCTCGTCGAACATCTTGCCCTGGTAGCGGTGCTCGTAGTAGTCGTGGATGCGCTGCCTCGTGTCGGGCGGCAGCTTGTGGAACGACATGTACTGCTCCACCTGCTTGTACTGAGGCCAGGGAGAAGGGACAGGGTGTCACCTCCAGCCCAGCCAGCCCACTGTCCCGGCCCACGGGGCTGGGGGGAGGGGTGCCGGGGGGCCCTACCAGTGTCTGTCATCATCGCGCTCCCCACAACAGAAAGCAGCCCTGGGGGGGGGGGCAGCAGGGCACAAGGCACAAGCTCACAACAGCTCCAGCCCAGGGCAGGGCCAGCTCGGGCAGAGGCGCCCTTCAACAGATGCTGGGGGACAAGAGATGTGCGAACCCCAGTGCCCTTTCCTGCTCCCAGGGCCAGCTGTCCCTGGGCTGGGGTGGAGAGGGGGGATGTTCAGAAGCAGGGCTGGGGGCAGGAGGCTGCGACTGGGCAGTGACTGTCCAGCATGCCGGAATCCAGGACCAACCAGAAACAAAGGTGTCTGCATACACGAGGACCCTACGGACAGGAGAAGATGCCAACGGTCTGCCCCTGGCCATGCAGGGCCACCCCAGGGGACAGTGATGGACTGGCTGGTCTCTGGGACCCAGAGTGGCAGGGTGGGGAGGCAGGTCTGGTGCCCGGAAGAAGCCGCTGGGCTGGGGTGGCTGGGAGAGATGGCAGTGGGGGAGAAGGGCAGCGCACACGTGTCAGAGAAGGCTGCGGTGACTCAGGAGGAACTGCAGAGCTATTAGGTAAAGGTTAACTACAGACAGCACCAGTGGGAGCACAGCACCCCGACTAAGCCCTGGAATGAAGCCCGGTACGTTCCCTAAACTAACCCCTGATCTGGGTCCCAGATCCTATGCTGTATCTACAGGGAATCCTGACCTGTCACACTTGCAGGCCTGAGTCTGCCCCATGCTGAACCCTGACCTGTCTCACACAGACACACAAACTCAGCCCTGATCCTGTCACACACACACACACACACACACACTCAGAGCCCTGATCCTGTCACACACACACACACACACACATATACACACATACACGCAGAGCCCTGATCCTGTCACACACACACATACACACACTCCGAGCCCTAATCCTGTTACACACACACATACACACACACTCAGAACCCTGATCTGTCACACACACACACTCAGAGCCCTGATCCTGTTACACACACACACATACACTTAGAGCCCTGATCCTATCACACACACACAAACACACGTGTACACTCAGAGTCCTGATCCTGTCACACACACACACACACACACACACTCACTCAGAGCCCTGATCCTGTCACACACACACGCACACTCACTCACTCAGAGCCCTGATCCTGTCACACACACACACACACACAGACACTCAGAGCCCTGATCCTGTCACACACACACATATACACACACACACGCAGAACCCTGATCCTGTCACACACACTACACACACTCCGAGCCCTAATCCTGTTACACACACACATACACACACACATACACACACTCAGAACCCTGATCTGTCACACACACACACTCAGAGCCCTGATCCTGTTACACACACACACACATACACTTAGAGCCCTGATCCTATCACACACACACAAACACACGCGTACACTCAGAGTCCTGATCCTGTCACACACACACACACACACACACACACTCTCACTCAGAGCCCTGATCCTGTCACACATAGACCCCGATCCTGACTTCACAGGCAGAGCTGCTCCAGCGCCTCTCCTTCCCCCGGAGGCCTGAGGATACTCAGTGTCACCCCTCCCTCCACCTGGCTCAGCTGCCCTTGGCCTCCTGGCTGGAGCCCTCTGTCCTAAGCTGGTTGGCTTATCCCCATAGTGGACACACCTTCACTTATGCCTCTCACAGCACCCCACGGACTCCACCCCACCTGCCTCTCCACACCTGCCCCGGGCTCTCCTGAGTTCTCTTTGCCCAGGGCTTGCACCCGCCCACCATCCAGCCAGGGTGCAGGTGACTCAGCCATGAGGACCAGCCCTCTTGTGGGCCAGATGCAGGAACACAGCGTGGAGGGCTGACCTGGCCTGGCCTCAAGGACAGGCACACGGAGTGTGGTGAAGGGGAATTGGGTGCACCACGGCCACCCGGTGGAGTGGGGGACTATCTGGCCACAGAAGGCTCCAATGGAGGTCCAATTCAGGCAGAGGATGAAGAAATGCCCAGTGGACCAGATAAGGGGCTTCCAGGCTCAGGTCCAGATATAGGAGGGAGCAGGAGCAAGGCCTGATGGGCAGGCTCTGGCAGAAGGGTAGAGGCCAGGTGCCAGCCAGAGAAAACACTTGGGAGCCAGAGAACAAGAACAGGGGACAAAGCACTTGCCTTGCATGTGGCCACCAGGGGTTGGTCCCCCGCACTGCAGGCCGCCCAAGTACCACCAGAAGTCATTACCCAGCGCTTCTGGACATGGCCCCAACTCCCCACCCCCAAACCAAAAACAAAACAGTGAGGACTGACTGCTTCCAGAAGCAATGAGTCCTGAGCAGGGGAGGGATGGGATCTGACTCATCTATATCCACGAAGATCGGCCATTTCTTCCTCGCACTCGCCAAGATGAGACGCCCAGTGCCTCCCCCTCACAGCGGAGCCGCGGTGCCAGGGACGGCCACATGCCCGCGCTCACGGCTCGCTCATGGAGGAACCGGCACAGGGCACAGGCAGAGGCCTGGCAGGGTGAACGGGGGAGAGAGTGCACTCATGCTCAGGGGATGCTGAGGAGGGTCTCTTGGGGTCTGGTGGGGCGTCATGCTCCTAACCAGACAGGGGGTGGCACTCTGAGGCCAAGAGCAAGAGGCCTCTTCTCTGCCATGTGATGGATGAGATTTTCAAGCAGGCCTCACTGAGCACCACAAGGGTTGACGGTGTCTGCTGGACCATGGGGCAGCAGCAAAACGGTGACCATTAGGAAAGCAGGAGAGACAGGGCAGAGAGGCAGTCCAGGCCAGGCGAGAGAGCAGGAAGGATGGGTCAGCGAGCGGACAGGCCGAGGAAGCAGGGGTCACTGTGAGGCTGCTGAAGCAGGGGAGGAGGCCTGAGGGGAGTGGGGGAAAGGGGCGGGGGGAGGTGGGACTTGGCAGGTTTCTTCTGAAAGGAAACTGACATGAGGGCCAGCAACGCCTGGAGATGGTGGAGGGGCTAAGGACGGTCCTGGGGGTCACGGGGGCCACGTGGTGAGGATCTGGCTCAGGCCCTGGGACACCAGGTGTGAGAAGAGCAAGACAGAGCAGGAGCTCACTGCTGGGAAGGCCGTGGGGTGGGGTGGGGGGGGTTGGGGATGGGGAATCCGAGTCCAGGAGAGAGACAGACCCTCAATCACACCAGCAGGAGAGGCGGGAACGGAGACGAGCCTCGCGGGAGGCTGCAGTCTTTCATCCCTAGGGGGTCTCCTTCTTTTTCCTCCGCCGCCCCCTCCCCACCCAGGGGTCCCAGTCAGGGGCTGGGCATGGGAGGGTGTGGCCAGGACACACCCGAGGGGACACCTTCCCGAGCGAGCGAGTCCGTGCCCGGGTGCCGCCTACCTTCTCCTGGTACTGGCGCCGGGAGGAGTCCAGAGACTGGATGAGCGCGGTGGCGTGGCCGATGAACATGGCATAGCAGGTGGCGCCCACGATCATGCTAAGCATGGTGAGCCACACGTCCGACATGCCCACGGGCGCCTGCCGCCCGTAGCCGATGCACAGCATGTGACTCATGGCCTTGAAGAGCGCGTACGAGTACTGCTTCCCCCACGAGTGGTTCTGCAAACAGAAGGGGCGGGGGAGGGGCTGGTGGGTTCCAGCCCAGGGACGGGCAGAGCCTTCTCAATGGGGGACGCCCCCAATGTCCTACCCACCCACTTTCCAGTGGCTGGGCTCAGGGCTCCCCACCTTGCTGCTGGTCAAAGGCCTCGTATGAGGCCCAGGGAAGCCGCCAAAGGCCCACTCAGGCCTCTCTCTTGCAGCCCCGAAGCTCCAGCAATGGTTGGTGAGGCCCGCCTCCCCCCTCCCCAGGCCAGGCCTCAGCTCCTGAGGAACTGAACAGCTCCATTTCTTCCCCCACCCCCAGGCCCCCAAACCGTGGCCAAGGGAGGCCCTTCCCACCACAAACCCTGATGAAAAACTCAAATCCTCCTCCTCCAGGGAACGGGGCCTGGCAGGCTGCGCAGTCCCCATCCTGGGCAGGGAGAGTCAAGAGCGCCCTCACCCTATTATCCCTGCCCACATCCATGCAGTCCGCGGCCCCCCCCCTCAAAGGTGGACAGGACGGCGCACCCGCCCAGAGGCGGCTGCGGGAGGGAGCACGGCTCCTGGCTATTTTTGTCTCTGAAGCTGGTGTCTCCAGGAAGATTCTATGGGGAGACAGGGCTGGAAGGGCCTGGAAGGAGGGCAGAAACCGGACACAAAGGAGACCCTTCCAGATGGGTCAGCACTGACTCCATCCCCTCCACCTCCTTGCTCAAAACTAACCCACCTTAGCTGGGGACGCACAGAATCCTGGAGCCTCGAGGCTGGCCAGGTCCCCAGAGCTCGGCCACGAGGTTAAGATCATAGACAACCACCAGGGACTGGCTGGCAGAGTCAGCCTGTGAGCTCAAGGCAGGACTGAGTGGGAGGTCTGCTGTGGGGCCTGGGGTGAGGACTGGGGGCCCCCAGCTGTCTGCAGGCAGAGCTTCTGGCCTAACCGCTGGGCCTCTGGGGACCAGGGGAAATTCAATCCATATGGCCACTTCATTTACACTTAGCTCATCAAAGGCCGCTCGGGAAAGGCCTGTTTGATGCAGAAAGATGCCTGAGGGTCTCTCTCACGGGCTCAAAGCTGGTTTCTCCTCCCCTGGGGCCCCGGGGATTAGCCTCCACACCAAACCCAACTGCCTGGCAGGGAAGTCCAGGGAGGTCGGGCTCAGCTGAGCCGAGGAAGGACTCACAGATCTGGGTGCCCCTGTCCGAGCCCACCCTGTCCACAGAGAGGGGGGCTCTGCTCTGTGTCCCCTCCAAGTCCAGCTTCTGTCACTCCCCCCAGGCTGGTACCCTGACCATCTCAGGACCCAGAAGAGGGGTGGGGACACATGCAGTATGGGGAGAGGGGGGGCGGCCTGCTGACAGAGCATCTCGGGGGCCTTCCAGCTCTTGTGCTTGGCTTTTTTTGTCTTTTTCTTTTTTCTCTTTTGGTTTTGGGCACACCCGGCAACATTCAGGACCCCGGGTTACTTCCGACTCTGCACTCAGGAATTACTCCTGGCGGTGCTCAGGGGGCCCACAGAGGATGCCGGCGATCGAACCCGGGTCAATCTTGAGCAAAGCAAACGCCCTGCTCGCTGCACTATTATGCCAGCCCAACAGGGGTCTGTTTGCCAGGGGCGGGCCTAGGGGGGGTTATAAGCTCTGCGACAGGGCTTCCGAGGACCCTAAAGCGTCTCTCCCCCTGGGCGGGCGCGGGTGCCTGCCAGCCTTACCACCATGTCGTTGATGGCCACCCAGCAGTCGTCGGGGAAGTCCTGCAGCATGGGCACCAGGAACTGCAGGCAGCCGTCCCAGTGGCACAAGAGCAGCATCATACCGATGAGGTTCACGATGCGGACCACCGCGCTCGCCAGGTCGTAGGTCATGTGGAAGATCTGCGGGCACAGGGAGGCGTTGGTCCAGAGGGGACGTGGGGACGCCAGCTGCCCCTGCCTCTGTGCTGCATGTGGCCCTGGCAACTCCATGCAAGCCTGGCAGCGCATCTGGCTCAGGCCGGGTCTGGCCACAGCCCGGAGGGAAGGCGGGAGGAGGGGGAGCCTCCCCATCTGTGCACGCTGCGGGGTGGGGCGGGGGCTCCCACAGACAAAGGTGAGCCATCTGGAGACCCAGGAAGCCCCCCAGCAGGTTGAAGCACCTCAAGGGGACCAGAGCCCGCCACTGTGAGGCTCCTGGGAGCACCCGGCCAGAGGTCCATCAGGGCTTCCCTAAATCTGTCACTAGGGGCCAGTGGGTTCTGCCTGCGGTGCTGCGAGACTGCAGGGGGCTGGGGGTGGGGGGACACAGCCAGGCTCACAGCAGGCTCTCCCGGACTCCTAGCTGTGTGGCCTTGAGAAAGTCCCCGCACTTCTCTGCTCGGTTCCTTGTCCGGAGAGTGGGGACGGGAGCTGGTATCTGAGTGAGCTGTCAGAGCGATGAAGTGCTTGATGCTGGGCAGAGACTCGCCCGATAAATTGCGAACCATGATTCATTGATAAGCTGTTATTAAAAATTCATCTTTATGACTAGCTCCCGTGTCGGTGGGAAATCTGTTTGCTATAGTGCAGAGCCGTGAAAGCAGTGCCCGCCCCAGCCAGCTCGGCCTGGCAGGTCCCTCCCCGGCCTCCGCCTGCCGGCAGGGCCCCCACACAGTGAGGCGGGTGAAGTGGGCAGAAGGAGGCGGTGCAGAGTCTATAGGGAGGTCTCTGGAGGATTTGGGGGATATCCCCAACCTACCACTGGTCTCTGCACACGCTCCCCAGGAAGAGACAACGTGGGGAGAGGCTTCGGGCCCAAATACAGACACGCCAACTGCCACCAAGACCCAGCTGAGGCCCATTTCAGAGGGGGAAACTAAGACCCCAGAAGCAGACCCTGGATTTTTCCATACCCTGTGTCTGGTCTCTAGGCTGGTGGCAGGGCAGTCACCTTCTCAGCGTCCCCCTCTTGAACACGGGGCAAGGTTTTGAAAACTCAAAGATATTCACTTTTAGTCCCTCGGCCCCACAGTGGCCTTCTCCGGGCGGCCTGATCCTGGATGTTACCATACCTGAAAGGCTGCAGCTTCGGAAAAATCCCTGACAGGTGAGCTCAAGCTCCCATCACCCAAAACTGAGGGACAAAAACACCAGACCACGAAGCCCATCTCCCACCGGACCTCATGGCCAGTCTCCCACCAGACCACGTGACTCATCTCCCATCAGACCGTGTGACTCGTTTCCCACCAGACCACAGGGCCCGTCTCCCACCAGGCCATGTGACCCGTCTCCCACCAGACCATGTGGCCCGTTTCCCACCAGATCACGTGGCCCATTTCTCACCACACCGTGTGGCCCGTTCCCCACCAGACCACATGGCCGGTCTCTCACCAGACCATGTGGCACGTATCCCACCAGACCATGTGGCCTGTCTCCCACCAGACCACGCGACATGTCTTCCCCACCACAGCATCTCCTGTGAACTCCCAAACCCTTTGCTGAAGGCTGTGTCCATCCCTGGCTCTCCCCGGAGACAGTAGCAGGGCTGGGGCACTTGCCTTGCACGCAGCCGGCCCCCGTTCAATCCCCTGCACCGCATCACCACACCCTGCGTGAGCTCTGAATCCAAAGTTAGGAGTCCTCCCTGAACAAGGCCGGGTATGGCCCCAGGTCCCACCTACCACCTCCTCTGGCTCCTCTCTTTCCACCAAAGCTCAGAAAGTGGCAGAATTTCCAAGGGGACTATGAGAGGCAGATGCCCACCAGCGGCTGGACTGGCGCTGTGCAGGAAGGCAGCTTCCCCTGGCTCTATTCTGCAGGTGAGCCAGTGTGGGGAGAGTGCAGCTATCCCTATGGCCGCTATCACTCAGTGAGCCAGACCCAGGTCCATGGCGTCTGACTCAAGGACACCCTCCGTCGGCAATGAGGCAGGTGGAGGTGACCGTGGCAGTCCCAGGGGAGAGGCCCGGGCTGTGTGGTCAGTGCGCCAGCTCGAGGCCAAGATCCCACATCCGGGGGTGTGGCACGAGGGGACGGTCAGCCAGAATGGGGGTCAGGTGAGGGGTCTGTCCACCCCCCACTGCTGTCTCCACCGAGGTCTGGGGGGGACTCCCCCTAGCTCCTCTGATTGCAGCATGGTTGGGTTCTGAGGGAACTCCCACCACGACACTTAGGTAACACCTCCTTGCCGTGGCTTCACACACTACAAACCCTTCTAAGGCTCGGCTGGCCACTGCCCCGACTCCAGGCACAGAGGAGCCTCAGGGATGCCCCCTCCTTCCCTCCCCCATTCAGCAGGGCCTCACCCCGCCGCCATGTCCTACACTGCCAGCTGCTAGGCCCAAGTCCAGCCCCCAGTGAGAGCCCACGGAGATGCAGTAGGATGAGGTCACAACGGGAGCCCCTGAATGACTGAAGCAGAGAAGGGAGAGGGGATTTCTCCCAGGTTTTTCCATCTTTGGGAGCACAAAGCCAGGAGAAGGCCAGCTACGGGGGTGAGGGGCGACTCTGAAAGGTGGCGATTCACAAGCACAAGGGGCCTTGGTACGCAGCACATGGATACATGGTGCGGCTGCCTGACTGCCAACTCGAGAACACGTGGGCAGCTGGCTGAGGGCTGAGGACGTGCGCTGGGTCATTTCTGCAGCTCCTGAAGCAAACACACAGATAGACCACCAGGGTGCGGATGCAGAGAGCACTGGGTGCAGGGGCACACCCTCCTCCAAGGCATCAGCCGAGCACTCTGCTGGGGAAAAGGCCACCGTGGAGGCCAGGCCTGGAGAAGGACTAACAGATGCAGCTTCACGGTCCAGGCCCGGACACTTAGAATTGTGAGTCAACCGCTGACCCACGCACGGTAACAAGCCCAGCACTCCCCTGGCCGGACACGCCTGCAGACAGTCTAGCCTCCTCAGGGGGCTCCCCACCCCCACCCATTCCCAACCGGCAGAGTGCACAGAGATCTTCGACAGATAAACATATAAGTCACACGGGGCCCAAAGAACGGTCCCAAAGGCTGAGCCCCAGCACTGCCTGGGCCCCCCAGCACCACCCCGAGTTCCTCAGGCCGGGAGCAGGTCCCGAGCACAGGTGCACGTGGCCCCCCCACAAACCCAATACTATGCGGAGAGAAGTCGACCAGAAAGACGACTCGGAACGGTCTCTCTCATCTGAGGGATATAAAGAAACGTAGCACGAGAGTCCCAAGTGACCCAAAGCGACAGAATGTAAGAACGGCTCCGCAGAGCGGAACTCAGCAAAAGTGTGAGACTTGCGGGGGTGGGGGTGTGAGTGGGGGTGGAGGGGGGATCCGGGGACAATGCTGCAGGGAAGTGACACTGGTGGGGTGTGTGTGGCGGAGGGGGGGGTGTTGGAATGTTGTATGCATGAAACCCTACGGTTGACAGTGCTGTGAAACTGTATAGCAAAGTGACTATGAAAACATGAAAAATAAAAACAAACACTGAAAATATCTACATCTCTTAAGCCCATATCACCCCTCCTGTGAAAATTCCCACCGTCACAGCCCCGCGTCCTCACCCGAATGGGCTTGCTGTATTTTTATAAAACCCTCCAGTACTGGAGCGGGGGCTGCCTTTTGGTTCCTTGGGGGTGGCCTCAGGCACATGCCAGGGAGGTGCATGGTCTCCGTCCTGCCCTCTCACACCCTACTGACCTTCCTTCTGTCCTGGGAGTCTGGCCTTGGACATCCCAACCCCTGAGCTCCCCCAGCTTTGCAGTTTCTCGGTGCCCCCTCCGCCCCATTTGCCTGGAAAGGCTCGAGGCTCCTGCCTTCGGGGACCGAATGCTGTCGAGCACGGCAGGCTCACTCACAGATGGCTCTGCGGAGTCTTCTCTCCTGGCCCCTCAGTCTCCCTTCGGCTGTAACTCATTTGCTTCCCAAAGCAGGCCGCCCTCTAATTTTGTCTTTGCCGCCATCTCAGCCTCGACTCCCCCAGAGCACACGGTGCAGTTTGGAGAAGGGTCAAGGCCAGGAAGGCAGCTTGTGTGTATGTGTCTGCTGTGTGTGTGTGTGGGGGGGGCTGGTGCATTCGGAAAAAAGCCTGTGCCCTGAGCCCGAACCTGCAGGACACTCTCAGCTAGGGAAGAGCAGTGGCAGGAGCCCCGGTGAGGAGGGGGTGCGGAGTAGGGGGTGCGCACTGTGCATAGGCACCCGCAGGGAGAGCCGGCGGGGGAGGGCGCACCCCCAGTCCATCTTGGCACCCCAGATGGTGAGGACACTCCCTGCTCCCCACAGCCTGGCCGGGGGCCATGGTTACCGAGAGGAGGCTGGACGTTGCTGGGAGAAGTTACCAAACACGGTGCATCCCCAGTGTGGGCTGGGCCAGGCCACTTGGCAAGTCAGCTGCACTGTGCAAATATTTGCCTGGCCCTCAATACCTCATTAAAAGCCCCTTGGAGGAAGTCAGTTCTGGCTTGTGTGGGGGGGACGGGGGGTGCTGTGGGCCTGGCCCTGGGGCACCCTGGCCTCTGGGCTCCAGGAGCGGCTCCCTGCGTGGCTCAGTCCACCTGCCTGCTGGCCCCAGGTGCTGCAGCCCTCACCTGCCCTGCCCTGCCGCCCTCTCTCAGTTGCCAGAAGAAAGAACCGACGGCCCAGTCCTGGGGAAAGACCAGTCACGGAGGCTTCTGCCCAGGCCATCTCCGAAGGCCGGCGGGTACTTCCTTCCCCATCACTCAGACACGTGCAGTCAACTCAGGCAGCAGAGGCCGAGTGAGCAGCAGGAACAAGGGGCACCGGGGACAGAGGGGCAAGCCAGGGTCCCTCCTGGGCACCATCCAGAGCGCCAGGCTGTGTCCATGAGACCACTCCCATGTTGTCCGAGTCCCTGGAGATGACAAACTCTGATCTGGGTTTTGTGACTGGGGAGGCAGGGAGGGGTTGGGTCAAACCCTTAGCTCAGGGGCAGTTCCAGGCTCTCTGCTTTGGTGATCACTCCCAGCAGTGCTGGGGGACGCTGTGTGGTGCCAGAAAGGAAGAGAGACCTGCCTCACGCCAGGCAAGCGCCTTCCCCCTTTGTGGAGGCCAGTTCTGAGAGAACGGCAGAGCCAGGCCCAGGTCCCGGCCTCCCCCTCCAGCCTTCCTGCCCCTGGGATGGGTGGCTGGGGTGCGGCCGGGAACGTCGGAAGAGGGAACCATGGTTTCTAACAATAGCCTCCATGCCTCTAACAAGCTCGCACCTCCAAGGGAGGGAGAGGCTGGGCTGGGAGCAAGCTGACCTAGATCCCCAGGGATGCGAGGTGGGGGGCAGGGGGCTCCTTCACCCTCACTGCTGGGACCCCCAAGACCCCACCTGCAGAGCTGTGGCTGACACCTGGGGGCTCAGTGGTCCAGGATCCTTGGGCCGGCGTTCCTGCTCCTTGAAGGTGGACAGCCAGCACCAGGCGATGTCCTCCCCACCTTCCACCCAGGCAGGCTGGGGACGGGGCTCTCAGATGGGGTGCACGCAGCAAGCTCAAGAGTCGGGGAAACTGAGGCTGGCAGAAGAAGAGTCTTGTTGCGCATGGAGAGAGGGCGGGGGAGCCTGCAGCGGGTTTTCTGGGCTAAATGCTCCCCCTCCAGCAATACCGCCAGGCTGGGGTCTCATGGGGGCAGCAAAGATGCAGCTAGGAGAAGCCTGGGGCTGGGGCGGGCTTTTACGATCTGGAGAGGAGGTTCCTAGGACCAGCTGGGAACCCTCCATCCAATCCCAGGGGCCCCGTGAAACGCCTGGCTGGGAGCTGCTGGGCAGACACCAGCTCGAGGCAATTTCCTCCCCGGCTGCTCTGCCAGATGAAGGGGGGCCCTCGGGATCTCCCTCCCGGCCCACAGCAGCAGCTGTTCCCACCCTGGATGGGGGAAGACCACTCGGGGGGCTCTACCCGACCAGAGTGCAGCCAGCCAGAGGGGCAGTGGGGATCCAAGCCCCAGCTACCCTCGGCCAGCCCCGGGCCCCGGAGCAGAGGCCGGGCAGCCAGACGCGCTGACCAATGACAGACCAGCTGCAAGGGGACAATGGGCGCCAACCCGGTCCTGCATGTCCCTGAGGACCAAACACCACGCCAGGAGTCTGCCAGCACCACCCAAACAGGTCCTCCAGAGTGGCCCCGCGTCCACCACACTGGCCCACTCAGCCAACATCTCTCTTCCTCGTGACAACAGGGCCTCAAGGCCACCTATCACATCGACAGTCACTCCCTCGGCCAGCCTGGACTCCCTGGTAGTGGTGGAGGAGGGGTCACCTCCAGCCCAGGAATACAACAGCACGCACTGTTGTCCTTGGAGCTGTCCTTGAGCTGTGTGAGAAGGGCAGGAGCCAGGAAACAGGGGTCAAAGGGCACCCTGCCACCGCAGGTGGGGGACAGAGCTAAGGCTTCCAAGCCTCAGTTTCCTCCCCTGAGAACAGGGATGAGAAAGTCTCTACATGTGGGAGAAAGGCATCTGGACACAGGAGTAACCACATTGCAGGAGTGTGGGGGTCACCGAGACAATCAGGGAGCAGGGGACTTCTCAGTCTAGCCTTTATGCCAGGCTCCACACTACGGGGGTCACCAGTGCCTCTCATGTCACTCTCCCAGTGACCCACGGAAGGAGGCACCACGTCCCCCCATTTTGCAGATGAAAAGACCGAGGATCAGGCAGGCCAGGTGGCACCAAGGTCACAGGGCCAGGCAGTGGGATTTTGTTTTTAGATTAGCTTTGGGCCACACCTGGCGCTGCTCAGGGCTTGCTCCTGGCTCTGTGCTCAGTGATCCCCGCGACAGCCAGCAGCCCACTCTGGACACCTCAGGGAGCCCTCACAGACCACATCTCCCGCTGCCCCACCCCCACCCCCCAATCCCAACCCCAGCCAGGCTTGCCCTTCCTCCCCGAGACTCGCCCAGGAGGAGCTGTGTGTACTCAGAGTGCTGGCCCCGGCAGATCCCTTAGGGCTGACTGTGTTAAGGGCGGCATCCAGGGGTCCTCAAGGGCCAGTCCTGTGTCCTTGCTTGAGGGATGCTTGGGGCACCGGGAGGAAACTTCCACCTGACAGCAAGCTGGTGAGGTATTCTCCGGCCTTCCCCTGCCCCCTGCCCTGAGACATTCCCCAGTGCTCCCCCTCCCCACCCCTCTCTGGCCCTCCCCAGCCCTCCACTCCAGCTGTCCCTGTCCATCCTGGAGCCACTGCTCTGCCCAGAGAGCACCCAGTGAGCCTGGTAGCATCTGCACAGGTGTCCTGCATCCCAGAACACACCCCGAGAGGGCTCGGCCACTCAGCTCTGACCCAGGGGCCTGCACTGGGCACTCAGGTGTCTGCCAATCCCACGGCTGGGGTGAAGAACCCAGGGCCGTCAGGTAAGGAGGGGCTGGCTAAGTCAAATCCAACTGCAGGATACACCATCCCCTGAGCCACCCTCTAGGCCTGGGGGACTGTCCCACTCATGCTCAGCTCCCTGCTTTTCTCTGTCCTCCCACAATCTCTCACCTGATTTTCCTGAAAATAGACCCACCCCCGTACCCTCGAGTCTCTTCTGGTCCAGGGATGTGGCTCAGAGGCAAAAGACATCTCATGAATGCAAGAAAATAAAGTCACTTTCACACAAACCGAGCCTCAAGATCCACTCCCCAAGAAGACAACCGAAGGTGGATCTGCACAGGAATCCAGGCTGTCGTCATTTATGACGCCTGGAGGTTTTGCTCTGAGCCCATTTCGACCCGACATTGAGCAGCCAGGGCTGAGCTCTGGCCCGCCACCCTCCCTCCTGCCCGCCACGTTCCCCATCTGGGAAGACGGGCTTACGCGTTTGCAGCCTCTCCAATGTGGGTGCCTCGACTTGACTTTCCAACCCAGGCTCATGGGGGGCTGGAGAAATAGCACAAGGGGAAGGAAGGCACTCGCCGTGCCCATAGCCTACCCCGGTTCCATCTCCGGCACTGCATACGGCCCCCGAAGCACTACCAGGCATGATCTCTGAGCACAGATCCAGGAGTCTGCCCTGAGCACTGCTGGTGGTGGCCCACAAACCCAACTTAAAACACTCTTTTGGAAAAAAATGATGATTTAAAAAAAATACAAAACTGTCCCCTGGAGCAGGGGTACTCTCCCAGCTCAGCATCTGCACTGCCGGTCGGGAGAGACCCGTGTCCCCCTGGGCCAGGGGCGGCCACTCACCTCCTCCCACTGGTGAATGTAGCGGATGAGGCGGGAGAGGCGCAGGAGACGCAGGAGACTGAGGATCTTGGTGAAGCGCACGATGCGCAGGGCCCGGGCCGTCTTGTAGACCTCGGAGTCGATGCGCGTCTCCACGATGAGGAAGATGTAGTCCACGGGGATGGAGGAGATGAAATCCACCACGAACCAGCTCTTGAGGTACTTCATCTTGATCCGCTGCGGGTCCAGGATGATCTCGGTGTTGTCCTCCACCACGATCCCTGTGCGGAAGTTGAGGACCAGGTCGATGAGGAAGAAGGTGTCGGACACCACGTTGAAGACGATCCAGGGCGTGGTGTTCTCATCCTTGAAGAAGGTGATGCCCACAGGGATGATGATCAGGTTTCCCACCATCAGCAGCAGCATCGTCAGGTCCCAGTAAAACCTGCCCAGAGACACAGGGGTCAGTGGCCAGAGGACACAGCAAACGAGTCCAGCTGGGAGGGAGGGTGGACGTCACGAGGAGGTTCTGGGAAAGGTTCTCAAGGCCCTGAATGCAAGCCTGGCCTTCAGGAGCCCTGGGTTCGATCCCTGGCACTACCTTGTCCCCCATGTGCCTCCTGAGCACTGATCCAAGAGTCGCCCCTGAGCACTGCTGGGTGAGACCCCAAAGCCAAGTACACAGGGAGAAGCCGGAGAGGCTTCTGGATGCTGCTGGAGGCAGGTCTGGTGCCCTGGAGGGCAGAAGGGCAGACTGGCGGGGCAGGCAAGCACAGAGAAGGAAGCTTGTCCTGCCCACTCACCTGCCTGAGCTGCCACAAGTCTCCCTCCACCCCCACCCGGTCCCTCCCCAAGTCTTCAGAGAGGCCAGCAGCAAAGCCACTGGTGGTGACCACCAGAAAAGAGCTGCTAGTGGCAGCACCCCAGCTCGACTTGTGGCCTGCCTCTGCCCTGCTCCAGCAGAGGCTGAGCTAGGCCAGCCTGTGGCCCCAGAGAGCAGGAAGCAGACCACACATGGCAGACAGAGGGCCCTGGCTCCCCAGACGCTGCCTGTCCGGGCCACGCTGGGGACACAGGTGACACCCCAGCTCTGCGCCTGTTACCCCACCCTGCTCCAAAAGCACCTGGCTAATTTGTCCCCCCAAAGTTTGCCTCCACACGCAGGGCTGGGAAAGACAGGAAAATGGGTTCTGGGGGCTTCAACACCAGCACAGTGAGACACAGTAAGCACAGGCCCCGGGGACGACTCACTCCCAGGGGCCCTTCGTGCGACTGCTCTCCATACCCCAGGCAGTCGCATCTGTGGAGCCGGGGCTGGGGTTCAGATGACAGAGACCCACATCTCCCTGGAGAAACACCTCCCGGCTCTCATGCCCTGCTGCGGGGAGGTGAGTGCAAAGGCGCGGGCGCGGGACACGGAGGACCTGAGCCTGCGAGGGTCCTACCAGCGGGATCTCACCTGTCTGGGCAACTTCGCGTTTGGGGCCAGGAGGCTGCTCCAAGAGTTAGCGTCCCTGCTCCGTGTGGGAACCCCAGGCTTGGTTGGTTTGTGTTTCGGTTTTTGTGTGCTTGGAGCTCACTCCTGGCTCTGTGCGTAGGAATCACCCCTGGTGGAGCTTGGGGGGCCAGATGGGGTCTGGGTATAGAAACCAGCGCAGCTGCATGCAAGGCGAATGCCCTCCCTGATTGCACTTTCACCAGCCCCAGAATTTCAGTTTTTTGTTTGTCTGTTCTCTTGGGGAGGGGCAAAGCCTCCCGAGAGGTGCTCAGGGACCTGGGGGCACTTCTGCCAGTCATTGGGGATGCTGTGAGTTCAGAGCTAGAGCAGGGGGTGCTATTCTCAGTGCCAAGGGCCACTGGGACCCCTCAGACATGCTTGGGGCCTCAAGGCCACACCTGGTGATGCTCAGGGGGCCCTGTGGTTTGAGCCATAGCTGGGTCCTCGTGTCTGATCTTTATCCTGTTCCCGAGAGCCCTGGGCTTGAGGACAATTAAGTCAGAGCAAAGTATTTTCTCCCTGCGACTCCTCGTGGTATGGAGAAGCGAGGCTCACCCCACGGAAGGGCACGAGCCTGTGTCCACTCACTGCCATGAGGTCTGAGAAGGATCTGGACAGGAAGAGCTGGCCGGTGGTTCTGAAAGCCAAGCCCTCAGGGCCGCCCAGGTGTCACCCGTGTCACACGGCATGGCCCTGACAGGGCTGCGGGGAGCCAGGGCCCTCAAGTTTTTGTTTTGGTTTTGGGGCCACACCTGGTGATTCTCAGGGTTTGCTCCTGGCTCTGTGCTTGCTCCAGAGGAGCACTCTGGCAGTGCTCAGAGGACCCTCTGGGATGCTGGGGACTGATCCTGGGTGGGCCGCCTGCAAGGCACGCACGCTGCCTTCTGTACTATGGCTCCAGCCCTCCTAGGAGCCTTCCTAGGGCAGGTGCCAAGGGCAGCTACTTCTCTGACCCACAACCCCCCACCCTTCCCCAGCCCCAGCCCCCTGTTTGCCCTGAAAAGCCCAACGTAAGGCCTGTGTCCCACTGCATGGAGCAGAACCCATTCTACGGTGACTCTCAGGCACGGCGGCATCCATGGCCCACCCCATCCTTCGCATGTAGCTCAGAGACAGTTGTGGGCACTCAGACTCCACACTCCCATCTCCCTACACACACAGCGTGCAAACACTGTGTGCACTCGCTGCCAGCATCCCTCCCACCTGACCTCTGGGGGGAAACTCAATAAACGCAAAAAGAATCGTGGCCTACAGAGGTCACGGCGGGCCCTGGGGCCCTCTGTACATAAAGCTAATAATACCCGGGCTGCAGGAGTTTCTAAAATTAACAGTGCGGGAGCGAGGCCGCGGGGAATGCTGACCGGGCAGGCCTGCCACCCGGCGGGCTCTACACTCTCCCTCTACTTCCCTCAATTACAGACCACGTCTGAGATGGTAATTAACAGGAGAATGTGTGCATTTAGCGGTCTTCATAAAGCCAAATTGCATGAAGCAAAAACACCCATTTCTTTGCATTTTGACTAGTTGTTCCCATCGCGAGCCTCCAGATGCTGAGATCCTTCTGGGGCTTGACGGACATGGGCTTTGGTCGGGGACCAGAGCACGTGTCCTACAAACCCTCATCATGATCTCCAGGGAGTAGCTCAGACCTAACAGTGCAACATGGGGCAGAGCGGGATGAAGCAGCGAATGGAGCCCATCAACCCACGCCTACATTCTGCTTACATCATCCAGTAGATTCATCCTTTCATGCCTCAGTTCCCTCATCTGCTCAAGGAGAATGATGGTGGCACTGGACAAGCAGTACAGTGGGTAGGGCACTTGCTGAGCATGTGACAGATCCGAGTTTGATCCCTGGCACTCCATGTAACCCCCTGAGCCCACCAGGAGTAAGCCCTAAGCACAGAGTCAGGAGTAATCCCTGAGCACCACTGGGTGTGGCCTAACCTTCCATCCCCAAAGAGAGGATAACGGGATCTAATGAGTAGAACCATGCTGAAGAATTATGTCTAAGATGCTCTGACTTGTGCCTAGCCCTAATATTAAATTAATTAATGAGTAATTCAAGTAAACAGATTCATAGGAAGGAAGCCATGAAGGAAGATAAAATCTCCATGGGAAAGCAGAGGCAGGGGTGGGGGTGAGGAGAGCTATAACGGTCTCACAAGAGCCAGTTGTGGGATCTCGGGGGGATGTCAATCCATTCACCTCAGGATGCTCCTGGTCAAGTGTGAGGACAGGTGAGATAAAAGACAGGTGACTGCGCAGGACCAGGAGACAGCCCAGGGGTCAAAGGTAACGCTCTGCATGTTTAAGGACCTGAGTTCGATCCTAGCACTGCCAGAGGTACCTCTCAAGGCCCCTGGCATCACAGGGTGTGATCCTGGTGGCCCTCAGCCACAGAGCCAGACCCTAGCACTTAACTACTTTGTCTGATGAGCACCAGGAATGGCTCCAAGGTTTTGTGAGGACTTTCTGGGAAGCCCTCACCACACACACCCATCACCACCAAACAAACGGGCTTCCAAGGTAAGACACCAGCCCACGCAACAGCTGAGGCCCACTGAACGTGGGCTCCTGATGGTCGCGGGGAAGGAGACAGAAGGTTCTCCTGGCGAAAGGAGTGGGGCTCCCCCGCTCCTGGCCTCCCCCCTCCCACGCCTTACTCTTCTCCAGATGGTTGCACAGATCAAGCACCACGGACGACGAAGATGCTGTTCAGCACCACGAACAGCTCCCGGCGCCTGCCAGTCCGTCCTGGTCCAGCAGGGGGACTGGCAACCACCTTGGGCATCCTGAGCTCCCCACTCCTCCCCGCCTCCCAGTTCCAGCAATCAGAAGTATCTCGAGCGATTCCTTAATTTTCATGGGCATCTCCTGAGCGCCGGGAAAGCCTTGCTGCATTAAGCCCCTGCGCCTCCACACACTGATTTCACGCGGTCTTGCATCTGACCCGGACACAGCTCTCAGGCGGCAGCTACCCTTTGTGTTTGTCCAGGTGACGACTCTGAGGCGGAGAGAAGCATCTGCTCCGGATCGCAGAGAGAGGACCCGACATCCAGAGAGGTCTGTGGAACCCCAGCAGCGGCCTCTTGGGATGTTAGGGCCCAGAGGGAGAGCCAAAGGGACAGGCACCTCCACATTGCTCTTGGAAGGTCCCCTGTCACATCTGGGGTGGACCTTGACCCAGGGAGGAGAGGAGAGAAAGTTGCAAAGTCTGTCTTAAGAGTGACTTTGGGCCACATCCTGCAGCACTCAGGGCTGACTCCTGGCTCTGTGCTCAGAAGCAGTCCTGGTGGTGGTTGGGAACTGTATGTGGCGCCAGGGATGAAGCCTGAGGCGTTCCTTACCTGTTGTATTATCTCTCCGGCCTGCAAACAGGCCTTGAGGAGACCTATGGTCCTGATGCCAGGCTATCAAAGGCACTTCTTGAGTGGGGGAAATCACATACCTTTCGCGTACTAAATTCAGTTTTATTTCGAAGAATACACTGGTTATTGACAGTTGGGCATGGCGGCAGCCATCCTATAGTAGGGAAAACTGCGGTCCACAACAGGTAGGGGACAATATCACTTCCAAAGCCTCAAGCTACCCACCCAATCTCCCTTAGCCCTAGCCTCATGTCTGACAAAATCCTCCAGTCCAGGTCTTCATCTTCAGGAGCGAGAAACGGGCCCTGGCAGGCAAGTCAGATGTGCACAGCCAGAGCGGGCACGTGCCCACATCAGAGGCTCCGTCTCTCCAAAGCCAGGAGACCCTCCCGCCCCTGGGTCTCACAAGCTAAGAGGAAGCCAGCAAGAGCCGAGCCAGGCCCAGCCTGTCCTGTCACACCTACACCTGCCTCCCTTGCTGGTCCAGCTGCCCCGTCCAGGCAGCCAGATGGAGTCCTACAGGAGGAACAGCTTAAGAGCCGACCTGGAGCAGCAGATTCCCTGAGCAGAGGAAAA